GCAGCCAGCAGCACCCCAGCAACTCCCTCTTCTGCCCCAGGGACCACCTACACATCCCCAGTGCTGACCACCATAGCCACCACAGCTGCGGCCACCAGCTCCATGGCTACTCCCTCCTCCACTCCAGGGACCACCTGGATCCTCACAGAGCCAACCACTACAACCACCATGACCATATCCACGGGCTCCACAACCACCCTGTCCTCCACTTTAGGGACTGTGGTAATTCCTACCACAGCCACCACAATGGCAGCCACTGGCTCTGCAGCCACCCCCTCCTCTACCCCAGGGACTGCTCAGACCCCCAATGTGTTTCCTACCACAACCACTACTACTCCAGCCACTGGTGCCATAGTGATCCCCTCCTCCAGCCCAGGGACTGCTCAGACCCCCAAAGTGTTGACCACAAGAGTGGCCACCAGCTCCATGGCCACGCCCTCCTCCATCACAGGGACCACCTGGATTTTCACAGAGCCAACCACTACAGCCACCATTATTTCTTCTATGGGCTCCACAACCACCTTGTCCTCCACTTCAGGGACCCTGGTAATTCCTACCACAGACACCACGACGGTGGCCACTGGCTCCAAAACTACTCTCTCCTCCAGCCCAGGAACTACAAGCACCATTTCAGTGCTAACCACCACAGCCACCACGAACATGGCCACCAGATCCATGGCCACCCCCTCCTCCACTGTGGGGACAGCTCACATCCCCAAAGTGCTGACCACCACAGCCACCATGCCCATAGCCACCGGCTCCACAGTGCCCAGCTCATCTGCCCTCAGGACCATCCAAACCCCCACAGTGCTCCCCAGCACTGCCTTCAGTATGACCACTGCGTCCGCCTCGGCCCTCACCACCCTCATGCCCACTGGCTTCCCCAGCACCCACTTCTCAACTCCGTGCTTCTGTAGGGCATTTGGACAGCTCTTCTCACCTGGTGAGTCCATGTGGATGATGCCCCTGTGCCCTTTCCCCCGTGCCATACCAACCTGGGTCTGCCTGTCCGGGGAGCCAGTTCCTCTCTCCCTGCCAGCCACACTGTTCCCACCGGCCTCACTCACCCCACTGGCCTCACCCTGCCCCCACCGGCCTCATTCAGCCTCCGCTCTCCCCAGCCCCTCCCTGAATGACCACTCCCTCCTGCACTGACCCCTGCCTTTGCCATCCCAAGCTCTGGCTTGCCTGTCACTGGAAGTGGCTTATCTTACTGTCTTGTCCCCAACAGCGGAGGTCATCTACAATAAGACCGACCGAGCTGGCTGCCAGTTCTATGCCGTGTGCAACCAGCACTGTGACATCGACCGCTTCCAGGGCCCCTGCCCCACCTCCCCGCCGCCAGTGTCCTCCAACCCACCTCCCCTGCCCTCCCCTGCCCCCGGCTGTGACAATGCTGTCCCTCCTCGGCAGGTGGGTCCCGCCCGCCCTCCGCCTCCCCTGCTATGCACACAGGGCCTGGGTTTGCTCAGGCACCACCAGGGCCCAGTCCCTGAGGCCTGTCTCAGTGACCCTCCACCCGTGGCTCCAGTTGGAGGAGGCGCACAGGCTCTGGGGGGCCAGGCCAACACGGGGGGCCACCCTCTTCAGGCGGACTCTTGTGGCCACCTGGGGCTATGCACCACGAGGGATGGGGTGACCAGGGGATGGGCGCCGTGAGCCGGTCCCAGTGAGCACGTGCCTGTTCCCTGCCACAGGTCAATGAGTCCTGGACCCTGGAGAACTGCACCGTGGCGCAGTGTGTGGGTGACAATCGTGTTGTCCTGCTGGAGCCGAAGCCCGTGGCCAACGTCACCTGTGTGAACAAGCACTTGCCCATCAAAGTGTCGGAGCCGAGCCAGCCCTGCAACTTCCACTATGAGTGCGAGTGTGAGTGAGGGCGGCCGCAGGACTCCCCGGGGGCAGGTGGAGCGGGCCGTGCTGGTGGCCAGGCTGGAGGAGTGGGGTGCGGGGGTGCGTGGAGAGGCGCCTGGGAGACGGGTGGCATCCCTTCAGGAAACCGCCATGCGCCACACCGTCCTGGCCACAGCAGTGCACATGGTGTGCGCCATTAGTCTGCAGGTTCCGTGTCCACCGGGCTCAACACGCTGACGCAGCCCACAGGAGAGGGGCGGAGGCATTTGCTGAGCTTCTCTGCACATCCACCTGTGTGGCTTGAAAGGAAGCCCGTCCAGGGGTTTCTGAGGCCGGGAGAAGCTCAGGATGGAAGCGGGAGCCCAGAGGAGCTGTGGTCTCCTGGGTCCTCACAGCGGCTCCCATCAAAGCGGCACTGTAGCTAAGAGGTGGTGGGGTTCTCACTTCTCCCGTGTCCTTGGCCCCAGGCTGCCCTTCCAAACCTCCACAGGCCAGGGGCTTAGATGACACAAACGCACTCTCCCTCCTGGAGCTGGAAGGCTAAGATCCAGAAGGGCAGGGCCACGCTCCCTGTGGAGGATCTGGGGAGGTCCTTCCTGCCTCTCCCAGCCTGGGGGCTCCAGGCCTCCCCTGGCCATGGCTGCATCTCCTCCTCTGCCTCTCTGTGGCCTCCCGACTCCGTGTGTCTGTCTCTCTCCTGTCCCCTGCAAGGGTGCTAGCCATTGGATTTAGGGTCCACCCGGGTAGTCGCTGATGTTATCATTGTAAGATGTTTCACTTAATCACTCTGCAAAGACGCTTCCTCCCGGCAAGGCCACGTGCGGAGGTTCTGCGGTGGCCATAGATTTTGGGGGGCACCATTCTACACACTGCACCCACTTTATAGATGAGGCTGCTGAGGCCAAGGGGCTTGAGGGGCTCCCAGGGCAGCAGTCGCGGTGGTGACGCTGGCTGCTGAGAAGCCCAGGGTGCGAGGGGACCGCCATGGAGCCCGCCAGCCCGTCGGTGCCTCTGTGTTCCGCAGGCGTCTGCAGCATGTGGGGGGGCTCCCACTACTCCACCTTTGATGGCACCTCTTACTCCTTCGAGGGCAACTGCACCTACGTCCTCATGAGAGAGATCCATGCGCGCCTTGGGAATTTCAGCCTCTACCTGGACAACCAGTACTGCGCAGCCTCCGCCGCCGCCAGCTGCCCCCGTGCCCTCGGCATACATTACAAGTCTATGGAAATCGTCCTCACTGTCACCACGGTGCACGGCAAGGAGGAGGGCCTGGTGAGTCCAGGCAGCCGGCAGGGCAGCCCTCCCTGTGCCCAGGCTGCGTGTGGCAGTGTTGGGCATGTCCCAACCACACCCGGGCAGGCCGACTGCAGGCCGGAGGCCCAGCTGCTTCGGCCATTGCCCAGGGCCGGAGGCAGTTCCCGGGGGGCAGGGAAGGCTGTGGGGCCACCCCAGGCTGAACGCACCCTGCGGCCCAAATGCAGCCAACTGCAGACTCCAGGCCCCCGGGGAAGAGCCGGGCTTTGGGGTGGGGGTTGCGTAGGCAGATCCCCAAAGGCACGCCCCGCTCCCAGAGCCCACCCGGCACCACCTCCCAGCTCACGGGCTCCCCCGGCTGCCCCCAGATCTTGTTTGACCAAATTCGGGTGAGCAGTGGCTTCAGCAAGGACGGCGTGCTTGTGTCTGTGACGGGGACCACCATGCGCATGGACATTCCCGCCCTGAGTGTGAGCGTCACCTTCAGCGGGCACGTCTTCCAGGCCCGGCTGCCCTACAGCCTCTTCCACAACAACACCGAGGGCCAGTGTGGTGAGTGAGCACCGCCCGCCCGGCGGGTCCTGCCCCACTGGGGCTGCCCCAGGGGCTGACAGCCCAGTGGGCAAAGGGGAAGCCTGCGGACGGGAATGAACTGGGGGTTGGGGAGGAAGCCTCTGGAGAGGAATGAGCCTCGGGGTGGGGGGGAATCTGTGGAGGGAAATGCTCTCGGTGGGGGAAGCCTGTGGATGGGAATGAGCTGAGGGGTTGGGGGGCAGCCTCAGAGGGGAATGAGCTGGGAGCAAAGCCTGTGGAGGGGAATGAGCCAGGGGAAGGGGCACAAAAGGCTCCCCGGATTCCAGCCCCATGGTGAGGCCCTGGCCTGCCCCCAGGCACCTGCACCAACAGCCAGAGGGACGATTGCCGCAGTCGGGTTGGAACCACGGCCACCAGCTGCAAAGACATGGCCAAGACGTGGCTGGTTCCCGACAGCAGAAAGGACGGCTGCTGGGCCCCAACCGGCACGCCCCCCACTGCCAGCCCCATGGCCCCAACGTCTGGCACACCCACCCCCAGCCCGTGCCCGCCGCAGCCGCTCTGTGATCTGATGCTGAGCCAGTGAGTCCTCCCCTCGGGATGGGAGGCCCCGGGGTGCCCCTGCCTGCCCTTGCTCAGCTCCCTGGGGCCTGGTGCCCTCCGCCCCATCGCTCTGCCCACAGGGTCTTTGCCGAGTGCCATGACCTGGTGCCCCCCGGCCCATTCTTCAATGCCTGCATCAGTGACGGCTGCCGGGGCCGCCCCGAGGTGCCCTGCCAGAGCGTGGAGGCCTACGCGGCGCTCTGTCGCGCACGGGGAGTGTGCAGTGACTGGCGGGGTGCAGCCGGCGGCCTGTGCGGTGAGTGGGCGCGGCCCTGAGACCCCAGACCCCTCGGCCTCTCTGAGGGGCCTGTATAGTGAGTGAGGGTCGTCCCTGAATCCCAAACCCCTCGGCCTCCCTGAAGGGCCTGTGCGGTGAGTGGGCGTGGTCCTGCACCCCCAAACCCCTCGGCCTCTCTGAGGGGCCTGTGCAGTGAGAGGGGGTGGCCCTGGACCCTCCAGCCCCCTCGGCCTCTCTGACATCTCTCTGTACCCACAGATCTCACCTGCCCACCCACCAAAGTGTACAAGCCATGCGGCCCCATACAGCCTGCGTCCTGCAACTCCAGGTGAGCACAGGGATGGCTGGATCTAGGGGAGCAGGAGGCCAGGGGGCATCCTGCTGTGAGCCACAGATATCTGGGGTGCCCCTGAGCCCAGGACTCCTTGAAAAACATCCCCGGCTGCTCCCAGATGCCTTAGAGACAGAGCAGGCAGGAGGCGTGTCCCCACCCTGCCTCTCCCCATCCCCACCCCTGCCCCGCCCACCCTGAGCAAGCCCCGCACTCCACCATTCCTCTCCTTCCTGCTCCCCACTGCCCATCCTGGGGACTCACATGGATGAAGATGCTGGGAGGCCTCCTGGACCTCAGGGTCCCAGGGCCACTCTTGTCGCCCTGTAGGAACCAGAGCCCACAGCTGGAGGGGCTGGCGGAGGGCTGCTTCTGCCCCGAGGACCAGATCCTCTTCAATGAACACACGGGCATCTGCGTGCAGGCCTGCCGTAAGCGCTGCCACCTGGGCCCGACCAAGCGCCTGAAGGGTGGGAGGGGCCGTCCCAGCCGCACTGTGCTCTCCCCTCTCCCCAGCTGACCCCTGTGCCACGTTCGCCCCACCAGGGGCCCACTACGGCCCCAGTGTGGCCCTGAGCCCCTGCAGAGCCCCCTCCAGCCCCCTGAAGCCCCACGGGAGGCACTGTCCTTGTGCGATCCTGTCGTGGTCCCTCCCCTGAGCCCTGCCTCCCACCACCGTGGCCGAGCCTCCTGTGCACTGACAGCTGGGCTCACAGTGCCCTGGCCTGAGCTCCAGCCACAGCTGTCACCCTACAAGATCTCCAGGGGCTTCCATCTTAGGGGGAAGTGGCGCCAGGCTGAGAGCACCTCCCAGAGCCAGAGGCCCCTCTGCCTGCAATCTCAGCATCCTCGGTGACGCCGTGCCCTTTCCTTTCCAGCCTGCGTGGGATCGGATGGCTTTCCCAAATCTGTGAGTGGCTCCGCCCCCACCTGCCCTACCCAACCCTCCCTGCAGCCGAGGGAGGAAGAGAGCCTCCCCATACCACAGGACAGCTGTGGGGCGCATGGTGTGGGCTTCCTGTCCCGTCACTCTGGGCCACTCGGGTGCCAGCCCAAGGGACGGGGTGGACAGACAGATGCCCAGGGTTGGCCCGTGGCTGAGTGTGGTGGGGAGGCCTGGAGCCCTGTCCAAGAACCCTCAGGAACCCCCTCGATCCCTTCCAGCCCGGGGAGCGGTGGGTCAGCAACTGCCAGGCCTGCGTGTGTGACGAGGGCTCAGTGTCAGTGCAGTGCCAGCCCCTGCCCTGTGAGGCCCAGGGCCAGCCCCCAACGTGCAGCCGCCCTGGCTTCCAGACTGTGACCAGGCCCCGGGCCGACGACCCCTGCTGCCCTGAGACGCTGTGCGGTAAGAGCCCAAGGAGCAGAGGTGCCCGGCATGGGGGTGGGGTGGATGGAGCCAGTGCCTGCCAGGGGCCTGCAGGGTGGGCACAGGAGAGCAGAGGAGAGCCACCCTGTCCTGGTCTGACCAGGTGAGACCACTCGGCAGAGACTGCCTCCAGGCACTTCATTGTCCTCCTAAAGATGAGGCGGGTGTCCTCTGGCCTGCCCAGGAGTGGCCCGGGACGTGGGGAGCAGTGGGGAGGTGGTCAAGCAAGGGGCCTGGAGGGAGCCCCCAAGGGCCGTGGGAGAAGTCAGGTCTCCAGGGAGCCCCCCGCCCGGGGCTTACTCTGGGAATGATGGGTTGTGAGGAGCGAGCAGCCCCTTACTGTGCCCTGTTCTCCCGCAGTATGCAACATGACCACCTGTCCCCAGAGCCCGCCCGTGTGCCCGCCAGACCAGGAGCCCTACCGCACCCAGGAGGAGGGCGACTGCTGTCCCACCTTCCGCTGCAGTGAGCGGGGCAGGGGCGGGGGAGGGATGGGCTCCTGGGTGACCATGCGTCTGGGGTTGGGAGATGCAGGAGGGCAGGCGGGGGGGGGACGAGCTCCTGGGTGGCCATGCGTCCGGCAGTGGGGGGCGCAGGAGGGCGAGGGCACGGAGCACAGGCTTAGCTCCCTTTCCTTCCAGGACCTCAGCTCTGTACTTACAATGGCACCTTCTACGGGGTAAGGGCACAGCAGCGAGCGGGGGTGGCCCTGCACCCAGACATCTGTGTGGGATGCCCGGGGCCCTCTGAACCCCACTCCTTGTCATGACACTCCTGCCATGAGGGCAGATCCATACAGGGGCCCTGGGCAGGACAAGGCTGGGACACACCTGGGACTCGGAGACCCCTTACGTCTTCAGCCGTGAGCGCCACAGCTGCTGCCTCTGAGAGGTTACTCAGGGCCTCCCAGCAAGGACCTAGGGGCAGGACACACCTGCCTGGGGTCCCTGCCCACCCAGATTCCCTGCCTGTCCAGATTCCCTGCCCTCCTGGATTCCCTGCCCACCAGGGGTGCATCCATTTGAAGGTGCTCCATTTGAGGGGTGCTCCATTTGAGGGGTGCATCCATTTGAGGGTACTCCATTTTAGGGGTGCTCCATTTGAGGGTGCTCCATTTGGGGAAGAGACAACTTCCTGTGGGTCACAACTAGTCATGGGGAGGGGTCCTGGCCCTGTTGCCCACCAGTGCCCTCAGTGCCACCCTCCCACTCACTGCAGGTTGGTACAACATTCCCAGGGACTCTTCCCTGCCACACGTGCACCTGCCTCTCTGGGGACACCCAGGATCCAACAGTGCAGTGTCAGGAGGATGCCTGCAACAATGCCACCTGCCCCCAGGTGAGCCCCCAGGCACCCATGCCCTTAGGTGAACCCCCGAGGCACCCACCCCCAGGTGAGCCCCCAGGCACCCACCCCCAGGCAAGTCCCCAAGACACCCACCCCCAGGTGGACCCCCCAGGCACCCACCCCCAGGCAAGTCCCCAAGACATCCACCCCCAGGTGGACCCCCGAGGCACCCACCGCCAGGTGAGCCCCCGAGGCACCCACCCCTAGGTGAGCCCCCCAGGCACCCACCCCCAGGTGAGCCCCCCAGGCACCCACCCCCAGGCGAGCCCCCCAGGCACCCACCCCCAGGCGAGCCCCCGAGGCACCCACCCCCAGGTGAGCCCCCCAGGCACCCATCCCCAGGTGGGCCCCCAAGGCACCCACCCCCAGGTGAACTCCCAGACACCCAACTCCATGTGAGCCCCCAAGACACTGCCCCCAGGTGAACCCTGAGGCACCTGCCCCCAGGTGAGCCCCCAGCTGCTGGGCAGGCCCAGCCCCGAGTCATGCTGACCTGCCTCCCTGGGGTTCTCTAGCTCAGCCTTTGCTGAGGCCATGTTTGTTCCCAAAGGGCGGGCATGAAGTAGGGTGACTAAGGGGCCTCAGGGTGGGACAGGCCTGCAGGCTGCTGGGGACAGGGGCTAGCATCAGGTCCCAGGAAGAAAGAAGTAGGCAGAGAGAAGGTGCTGGAAACGGGTGAGGCTGAGCCGGATAACTGGGTGGGGGCAGCTTCTGTGGGTGTAGGTCCAAGCAGGGACAGGGATAAGGGCCACCAGACCACTGGGGTGTTGATGGCAGGGCAGGCTGGGCCGGGACGGGCACTGGAGGAGAGGAGCACAGCCTGACACCCTCCTGTCCCACAGGGCTTTGAATACAAGAGCGTGGCTGGGCAGTGCTGCAGGGAGTGCGTGCAGACAGCCTGCCTCACGCCTGACGGCCGGCCCGTCCAGGTAAGAGCGGAGGCGCGGGGGCCGGTCTCAGCTCCACTCCCTCCGCAGACCTTCATCCTCCATGGGGCTCGGTGCACGAGAGTCCCTACTCAGCTTCCACCCTCTGCCTTGCACTTCAGCTGAACGAAACCTGGGTCAACAGCCCCGTGGACAACTGCACCGTGTACCGCTGTGAGGTCGAGGGCGGACTCCATTTGCTGACCCCACAGCCTGCATCCTGCCCAGATGTGTCCAGCTGCAGGGTGTGTGCTGGAGGCCCCGCCCCTTCCTGGGAGGCCCTGTCCATCAGGAAGCCCCACCCAGCAGGGAGGCTCCACTCCTTCCCCAGAGGCCCTGCCTCTGCCTGGGAGGCCCCACCCCTGTCTGGGTGCCCCTGGGAGGCTTCCCCCCACCCTAGGAGGCCACACCCACCAGGGAATCCCCCAGGCACCTGCCCCCAGGTGAGCCCCCCCAGATACCCACCCCCAGGTGAGCCCCGAGGCACCCGCCCCCAGGTGAGTCCCCAGGCACCCGCCCCCAGGTGAGTCCCCAGGCACCCCACAGCCCTGGCCCTGTCTTTGGCCCCACAGGGGAGCCTCAGGAAGACCGGCTGCTGCTATTCCTGTGAGGAGGGTAAGTGGAGGTCGCCTTCCCACACCCGCCCTCCGGCTTCATCCCGTGCCCTTCCATTCCCACCCAGACGGCAGCACTGGGCAGCAGTGGGATCTCAGCCTCCAGGCTCCAGTCTTGGTCCAGGAGGGCCGTGGGAGGGGCGGTCCCATGGGGAGGGTCCACCCACCAGGTCCTCAGAGCAGAGTCCACGGAGGCCTTGCATCCGCCTTTCCTCTTCCAGACTCCTGTCAAGTCCGCATCAACACAACCGTCCTGCGGCACCAGGACTGCGAGACCCAGGCCACGGTCAACATCACCTTCTGTGAGGGCTCCTGCCCCGGAGTGTCCAAGTGAGTGGGCTCCTGGCCCTGTGCCAACAGCACATGCGTGCGGTGGGTCCGTCTGGGCCCGTCTGCTGGCCAGCATCCCGCTCTGGGTCAGGAGGGCTTACATCAGCTCCAGGAAGAAGGAAAGTGGCTCCCCAGCAGGGTCCCCTTCTCCACATCCATCGGCAGAAAGCCTGGGGCCACTCTCCCGGCCAGGCCAGGGCCCTGCTGAGCTGAGCCACAAGGCCCAGAGCTCCCGGCCGCAAACTCAGGTCCGGGGTATCCCCTAGGGAGAGTGGGCGGAACCAGAGCCTTCCATGGAGCCCCCACGGCTTGCCACAGAGGCCAGCTGTCAGCAGGAGGGGCCAGGAGGGTTGACCCTTGGCTAGAAGAGGCAGGAGGAAGGGTCAAGGGCTGCTCAGGGTCAGCAGGACTGGAGGAGCTGGTTCAGACCGGGGAAGGGCCACAGAAGACAGAACCTGCGCCAAGGGACCCAGGGAGCCCAGAACCACCCCATCCTGGGAAGGTGAAGCTCCATGTGCCCACAGAGCAGGCCACTGTGGACAGAGGGGTGGCCGTCTGGCCCAGGACCCCAGAGGCCCACGTGTCACCGCAGCTGGGCAGAGAAATGGTGGGGCCCAGGTGGCTGGTCTGAGGGCCACCCTGCATCCACAGGTACTCAGCGGAGGCCCAGGCCATGCGGCACCAGTGCACCTGCTGCCAGGAGACGCGGGTCCACGAGGAGACCGTGCCCTTGCGCTGTCCTGATGGCTCAGCCGTCCTGCACACATACATCCACGTGGATGAGTGTGGCTGCACGCCCTTCTGTGTCTCTGAGCCCGTGGCTCCCACACACGCACCCGGATTCCCGGTCTAGGAGGCCACTGCCATCTGACGATGTTCTGCCTCGACCCCATGCCCTGTCCACCTGGAGCCAGAATGCACATCGCCCAACCACGACCACCTTGGGCCAGCTCCACGGAACCCCCCGGCCTCTGGCACCCTGTGCCTCCATGCTCCTGCTGCCCGCCCCAGGGGTAGAACCGACCCCTGGAAGGGTGAGGAGCCAGCAGGATGCCTTTCAGGAAAGTGCCACTCAGGAGTCCTGCCCTGGTAGAGCCTGTGGCCCGTCTTGGCCTTGCCCCTCCCTGAGGTCACTGGGACACCCTGGAACAAACTAGGCACGTGCAGGCCTGTGTGTTCCCGCCATGCCCAGAGCCACGGCCAGAGCCCCTGTGCAGCACGGATCCCAGCTGGCCGTGTCCAGCCGCTGGGGCACAGACAGCCCGGTCCAGGCAAGGCTGGTTGCTACTGGGAAGCTGCACCAGGCGATGTGTCCGCCTGTCCGTGCCTGCTGCAGGGTACCTCGGGGCTGAGGCCACAATGGCCAGGTCAGAAGGGTCAGCATCCCAAAGCCCCCTCTGCCCAGCTCAGCCCAGTTCTGCAAATAAACCCTGAGCATCGCCTACATTTCCTGTCCCAGTGTCTTTTCTTGCCTACCGTCTCTCCCAGGCTGTCCAGGTCTTCTGAGGGCTGACTGCCTGGGCCCTGCCGGCTGGAAGACACATCCAGGGGATGGTACAGAACCCCCATCAGCCGCTGAGGGGCCAGGAAGTCTCTGGGAGGGCCAGGCGGGGTGAGGGACAAGAAGCCAGATGGCCATCCATGTGCTCCTGAGAGCACTCTGGGAGCCAGTCTTGGGCTGTGGAAGGGCTGGCCAGAAGACAGGGCACAGGGGGCCGCCAGGACCCGGAGGTCACCCCGGCAGTGATTTCCAGCATGGGGGATTGTGTGAGGAAACCGCTCGTACAGGAAGACAGAGGCAGTCAGTGGGGCAGACATGCAATCAGACCCTGTCAGCAGGGACGTAGCCGCCGCCCAGGGCAGGTGACCGGAACTGGGCACGATGCTCCCAGGCTGGTGCTGGGCCCTGCAGAGCCACCTTTCACCCCGTCTCGTGTGGACCCCCTGGGATGCTTTCCTCTGGGGCTTGCTCACCTCCTGTCTCACCTCCCCATGTGGCAAGGCTTCCTGCCCTTCCTTTCTGTTGCTCTGTCCAGAGCACAGAGCACCCCGTGCAGACAGCAGGGGACTGGGGAGCCTGTGGGATGGGCAGCATTGACAGCTGGGGCTGCAGGTGTGGGCAGGGAAGACAGTGAAGGTGGTATCAGCCAGGACCTGGGCACAGCAGGATGCAGGGGGCTTTGGGCACAAAACAACCTCCTGCTGGGCAGGGGGTGGGCACGGGCAGACCGTGGTCTGGGGAGATGAGGGCAATGCCCGCACCTTGCCATGGACCTACTGGGCAGGGAGTGGGCACAGGGAGACCGTGGCCTGGGGAGACAAGGGCAATGCCCACACCTTGCCATGGAAGCCTCTGGTGTGGGTGCAGAGCAGGGCCTTCCCCACACCAAGAACTGCCTCTGCCCTCGGGTGGGTTCTGCCCTGCCCAGGAAGTGACACCATCATTATAGCAGTGTGGGAACGGACACATACAAAAGGCTTTACCCCTCCCCTCCACAGTGTGGCAGGTGTAGCCTCTCAGCACTTCCCAAATCCCATTTACAGAGCGAGGCCCCTGCCAGCACTCCAGCCTCTCCTCCCCTCCTTGCCGAGGCCCAGCAGGACAGGCCACCCCAGTACTGGGCTGGAGACAGTCAGGGGGCTGGCAAGGTTGCAGGTGGGCTCCGGGGGGCGGTGGGTTAGGATGGTCACCACTGGGGTCAGCTTCTACAGGTTTTACTGTGTCTCTGAGGCTGATTCCCTGGAGGCCACACCAGGTCACTGCCCAACTGGGCCTGCATTCAGCCATATGTAAACGGTGTTTCCTGAACCTCAGTCATTTTCGTGGCGCGTGGTTTCTTAGACCCATTTACACCGGTGTGTGCGTACAAGCACCCGTCTCAGAGGCCTGGGCTATGCCGTCTGTGCCCCACCATCTCATTCAATCCTGACAAGGACGCTGTGTGATGTCTGTGATCGCGTCTCCCACCCCACGGACGGGAACACTGAGGCACAGAGTGATGAAAAGGTGCGCTTCTGTCGGGAGAAAGCTGGGCTCACACCCACAGCCCACATGGAGTCCACACTCAAAACCACAGAGCTCTGCTGATGACCCAGAGCAAGGAACTATAAAAAAAGACACAGTGAATGCAAACCAATGTTACTCAGGCTTTAAGGACGTTGTAAAGCAGGTTTCTGGTTTCCAGATGGAAAAGTGGGCATGTCTCCCCCACAGACACAAAAACCATGGCAATGATAGAAACTTTAAAATAGCAGCAATTGAAAACAAGAAAGTAGCTGGGCACGGTGGCTCACACCTGTAATCCCAGCACTTTGGGAGGTCCAGGTGGGTGGATCACCTGAGGTCAGGAGTTTGAGACCAGCCTGGCCAACATGGTGAAACCTCGCCTCTACCAAAAATACAAAAAATTAGCCAGGCATGGTGGCGGATGCCCATAATCCCAGTTACTTGGGAGGCTGAGGCAGGAGAATTGCTTGAATTTGGGAGGTGGAGGTTGCAGTGAGCCAAAATCACACCACTGCACTCCAGCTTGGGCAACAGAGCAAGACTGTCTAAAAAAAAAAAAGAGAAAGAAAAGAAAAAAAAGAAAACGAAAGTAAATCATAAATCATCTGCAAGGCAAGAAGATATCCTGAAAAGGAGGGATTTGGGAAGTGCTGGGAGGCCACACTCGGCCACACTGTGTGTGTGTTGGGGGTGGCGGCAAGGCCTTTTGTATGAGTCCATTCTCACACTGCTATAAAGAAATATCTGAGACTGGGTAATTTATAAAGAAAAAGGTTTAACTGACTCACAGCTCTGCCTGGCTGAGGAGGCCTCAGGAAACTCACAGTCATGGTAGAGGGCAAAGCAGAAGCAGGCACCTTCTTGACAAGGTAGCAGGAGACTGAGACCCAGCAGGGGAGATGCCACGTGCTTATTAAACCATCAGATCTCGTGAGAACTCACTCACTGTCATGAGAACAGCATGGGGGATACCACCCCATGATCCAATCACCTCCCACAGTGTCCCTCCCATGACATCTGGGGAATATGGGGATGTATTAGTCTATTTCCACACTGCTGATAAAGACATAACCAAGAATGGGAAGAAAAAAGAGGTTTAATTGGACTTACAGTTCCACATGGCTGGGGAGGCTTCAGAATCATGGTGGGAGGTGAAAGGCACATCTTACATGGTGGCAATAAGAAAAAATGAGGAGGAAGCAAAAAGTGGAAACCCTGATACAGCCATCAGATCTCATGAGACTTATTCACTATTACAAGAATAGCATCTGAAGGACTGGCCCTCATGGTTCAATTACCTCTGCCTCAATGCCCACATGTGGGAATTCTGGGAGATACAATTCAAGGTGAAGTTTTGGTGAGGACACAGCCAAACCATATCATTTTGCCCCTTGCCCCGCCAAACCTCATGTCCTCACATTTCAAAACCAATCATGCTTTTGCAGCAGTCCCCCAAAGTCTTAACTTATTTCAGCATTAACCCAAAGCCCACAGCTCAACATCTCATCTGAGACAAGGCAAGTCCCTTCCATGAGCCTGTAAAATCAAAAGCAAGTTAGTTACTTGCTAGATACAATAGCAGTACATGTATTTGGTAAATACAGCTGTTCCAAATGGGAGAAACTGGCCCAAACCAAGCGGTTACAGGGCCCATGCAAGCCTGAAATCCAGTGGGGCAGTCAAATTTTAAAGCTCCAAAATGATATCCTTTGACTCCAGGTTTCACATCCAGTTCACGTGGATGCAAGAGGTGGGCTGCCATGGTGTTGGGCAGCTCTGTCCCTGTGGCTTTGCAGGGTACAGCCTCCCTCCCGGCTGCTTTGAGCATCTGTGACTTTTCCAGGTGCACAGTGCAAGCTGTCAGTGGATCTACTATTCTAGGGTCTGGAGGATAGTGGCCCTCTTCTCACAGCTCCACTAGGTGGTGTCCCAGTAGGGACTCTATGTGAGGGCTCTGACCCCAAATTTCCCCTCTGCACTGACCTAGCAGAGATTTTCCATGAGGGCCCCACCCCTGCAGCAAACTTCTGCCTGGACATTCGGGTGTTCCGTACATGTTCTGAAATTGAGGTGGAGGCTCCTAAACCTCAATTCTTGACTTCTCTGCACCCACAAGCTCAACACCACATGGAAGCTGCCAAGGCTTGGAGCCTCCACCCTCTGAAGCCACAGCCTGAGCTCTACATTGGTCCCTTTCAGCCACGGCTGGAGCAGCTGGGATGCAAGGCACCAAATCCCTAGGCTGCACACTGCATGCAGACCCTGGACCTGGCCCACAAAACCACTTTTTCCTCCTGGGCCTCCAGATCTGTGATGGGAGGAGCTGCCATGAAGTTCTCTGACATGGCCTGGAGACATTTTCCCCATGGTCTTTGGGATTAACACCAGGCTCCTTGCTACTTAAGCAAATTTCTGTGGTCGGCTTAAATTTCTCCTCAAAAAATTGTTTTGTGTTTTTCTACTGCATTGTAAGGCTGAAAATTTTCTGAACTTTTATGCTGTTTCCCTTTTTTAAATTTTTTTTTTTTTTTTTTTAGATGGAGTCTCACTCTGTCATTTAGGCTGGAGTGCGGTGGCACAATCTCAGCTCAATGCAACCTCTGTCTCCTGGATTCAAGCAATTCTCCTGCCTCCACCTCCTGAGCTGGCATTACAGGTGCGCATCACCATGCCTGGCTAATTTTTGTATTTTTAGTAGAGATGGGTTTCACCATGTTGGCCAGGCTTCTCTAAAACTCCTGACCTCAGGTGATCCACCCACCTCAGCCTCCCAAAGTGCTGGGATTACAGGCATGAGCCACTGTGCCCAGCCTGTTTCCCTTTTAAAATGGAATGCTTAACAGCATCCAAGTCACCTCTTGAGTGCTTTGCTGCTTAAAAATTTCTTCTGCCAGATACCCTAAATCATCTCTCTCAAGTTCAAAGTTCCACAAATTTCTAGGGCAGGGCAAAATGCCACCAATGTCTTTGCTAAAACATAACAAGAGCCGCTTTTGCTCTAGTTCCCAACAAGTTCCTCATCTCCATCTGAGACCAACTCAGCCTGGACCTTATTGTTCATATCACTATCGGCATTTTTGTCAAAGCCATTCAAAAAGTCTCTAGAAGTTTCCAAACTTTTCCACATTTTCCTTTCTTGTTCTGAGCCCTCCAAACTGTCCCAATCTCTGCCCGTTACCCAGTTCCAAAGTCACTTCCACATTTTCAGGGATCTTTTCAGCAATGCCCCATTCTTGGTCCCAACTTAACGTATTAGTCCATTTTCACACTGCTGATAAAGACGTATCCAAGACAGGGAAGAAAAAAGGGTTTAACTGGACTTACAGTTCCACATGGCTGGGGAGGCCTCAGAATCATGGCAGGAGGCAAAAGGCAATCATGGCAGCAGCAAGAGGAAATGAAGAAGAGGCAAAAGCAGAAACCCCTGATAAACACATCAGCTCTCATTGGACTTACTATCACAAGAATAGCATGGGA